GTGATGGACTCTGGGGAAAGCAGCAGGAGCTGGGCCTGGCCGCTCCTCACCTGGGGGAAATGGGGAAAACTTGAGGGGAAAAGGGAAGGGAAAGAGTGGGAAAAACTGAAGGGAAAAAAATGGGAAAACCTGAGGGGAAATGTGGGGAAAATGGTGGGAAAACCAGGGAAAACTGAGGGGAAAGGGCAGGAAAAAATGAGGGGAAATGCGGGAAAAAGGGTAGGAAAAGAGTGGGAAAACCTGAGGGGAAATGCGGGGGAAGGAGTGGGAAAACCAGGGAAAACTGAGGGGAAAAGGGTGGGAAAACTGAGGGAAAATGTGGGAAAAGGGTGGGAAAAGCTGAAGGGAAAAGAGTGGGAAAAACTGAGGGGAAAAGTGGGAAAATGGGGGGAAAAAGTGAAGGGAAACATGGGAGAAAAGGGTGGAGAAAACAGAGAAAAACTGAGAGGAAAAGAGTGGGGAAAAGGTGGGAAAAACAGAGGAAAAGTGAAAAAATGGGCTGGAAAAAGTGAAGGGAAATGTGGGGAAAAGGGCAGGAAAAACTGAAGAGAAAAGAGTGGAAAAAACTGAGGGGAAAAATAAAAAAATGAGCAGGAAAAAGCGAAGGGAAATTTGGTAAAAAGAATTTTTCCTCACTTTTTGGATGGCGGCCTCGCGCTGCGCTGGGGTGAGGTTGGAGTGGATGCAGACGCCTGTGAGCGCTGAGGGAAGGCTGCAAACCTGGAAATAACAACATTCTGGATTTTTTTAGGATTTTATGAAGGGAAAAATCCCAAAAAAAGCAGGAATGGGGAATTACCTGGTCGTCCATGAGGGAGATGAGGGGGGAGACGACGATGGAGATGCAGCGCGAGCGGCGGTGGTAGAGGAAGGCAGGGAGTTGGTAACAGAGGGATTTACCTGAGCCTGTGGGCAGCAGCAGCAGCGTGGAGAGACCTGGAAAAAATGGGAATTTTGGGGGGTTGGGAGAGGGGAAAATGGGGTAAAAACTGAGGGGGAATGTGGGGAAAAGGGTGGGAAAAACTGAGGGAAAAAGTGGGAAATAGGGGCAGGAAAACTGAGGGGAAATGTGGGGGAAAGGGGTGGGAAAAAGTGAAGGGAAAGGAGGAGAAAAGGGTGGGAAAAGCAGGGAAAAGCTGAGGGGGAAAGGGCAGGAGAAGCAGGGAAAATGTGGGAAAAAGGGTGGGAAAAACTGAGGGGAAAAAGGTAGGAAAAGAGTGGGAAAACTGAGGGGAAAAGTGGAGGAAAGGGGTGGGAAAATGTAGTAAAAAGGGTGGGAAAAAGGGTGGAAAAAACTGAGGGGAAAATGGCAGGAGATACAGGGAAAATGTGGGAAAAGGAGCAGGAAAAACTGAGGGGAAATGTGGGGAAAAGAGTGGGAAAAATGGAGGGGAAAACGGTGGGAAAAATTGAGGGAAAATGTGGGGAAGTGGGTGAGGAAAACAGGGAAAGACTGAGGGGAAAAGGGCAGGAGAAACAGGGAAAATATGTGGAAAAAAGGTGGGAAAAACTGACGGGAAAAGTGGAATAAAGGGCAGGAAAAACTGAAGGGAAATTTGGGAAAGACTGAGAGGAAAAGAGTGGGAAAAATTGAGGGGAAATGTGGGGAAATGGGTGGAAAAAACAGGGAAAAACTGAGGGGAAAAGTGGGGAAAAAATGGGGAAAACTGAGGGGAAATGTGGGGAAAAGGGTGGGGAAAATGGTGGAAAAAACTGAGGGGAAAAGGGCAGGAGAAACAGGGAAAATGTGGGGAAAAAGGCGGGAAAACCTGAGGGGAAATGTAGTAAAAAGGGCGGGAAAAGCTGAGGAGAAATGTGGGAAAAAGAGTGGAAAAACTGAGGGGAAAAGGGGAAAAAAGGGCAGTAAAAACTGAAGGGAAATTTGGGAAAAACTGAGAGGAAAAGAGTGGGAAAAACTGAGGGGAAATGTGGGGAAAAGGGTGGAAAAAACAGGGAAAAACTGAGGGGAAAAGGGTTGGAAAAGCAGGGAAAATGTAGGGAAAAGCAGGAAAAAAGTGAGGGGAAAAGGGCAGGAGAAAGAGGGAAAATGTGGGAAAAAGGGCCGGAAAAACTGAGGGGAAAAGTGGAAAAAGGGGCAGGAAGAACTGAAGGGAAATGCAGGAAAAAATGGGGAAACCTGAGGGGAAATGTGGGGAAAAAATGGGGAAAATTGAGGGGAAATGTGGGGAAAAATGGGGAAAATTGAGGGGAAATGTGGGGAAAAAATGGGGGAAATTGAGTGGGAATGTGGGGAAAAAATGGGGAAAATTGAGGGGGAATGTGGGGAAAAAATGGGGAAAATTGAGGGG